CAAGTGCCACGCTACTAGAAACAAGTGCCTTACTAGTAGGAACAAGAGAATGGCCACTTTTCGTTTCTTTTCCCTTTTCCAAATAGTAAGGACACAGTAGAGAGGTCCTTCAAGGAAGCCCAGCAGGGGGCAGAAGCGCAGAAGTTCGCTTGAAGACCTTATTTTTCGGAAACTTCGATCTTAGGCAGTTACTTGGTAGACCTTTTCTTTTTCTTTTGTTTCCAATGACCCCTTATTTAGGTAATTGTTTCGCGTACTAAAAGAGAGGGAACAGCAAGATATGAGCGACGCTGAGTCGTGCAGTTTACCGCTTCGTGTACCGGTGCGATACTTTCGTCCGGCGCGCCCAACGGTGCGGTGCGGCTTGCTCTGAGTCGTGTCTTTACAATCGTATATTCCGATATATTCCGTCGTAAGGCACTTTCCTTCATTGAAACTTCCCAGAAAGATATCTTGTTCGCTTTGGACATTACATTTCGCATTGCAGGTGTTTCAAATCCTGGCATCTGACAAGACTGGGGCGATAGAAGAGTCCGATTTTCTCTTGGGCTGCTTGCGGCTCCGGGGAGGAGCCACGGCTGTAGATATGGTCCGAATACAGATGGAGCAAGAATGGATTCACAGCGCCCTGTTGCAGATGAAAGGCTTGATGCAAAAAACCGCCAAAGATCTCGCTGCGGTGCAGTTCACTTTGGCAGCTCAGGAGAGTGTGCGGCCGACCAGTCATTTCTCGCGGCAGAAGACGTCTGTGGTTGCTGATGGAGCTCGTGATGGAGATGACACTGCATCTGACAGCTCTGTGGAAGTGCTTCACCACTACCAACGGACCAACTTGAAGACCTTCGAGCGAGCTGTTACCGTTGAAGAGCTCTCGGGCATTTTGGATGAATTACCTCAGGTGTGTCACGGATGGAAAGACGCTCACACAGGAGATGTGATCTCTGAGAAAAAACTGAACCTTTACCAGTTCAACTATCATTACATCATGCCCAAGACCGCTCCACAAGAGGGTGTTTTGTTGCAATGGCCGGCTTCCTGCGCGAAGGGGTTGAAAGCCTTACCGAAAGCCGGGCAAGAGGTTTGCCAACGATGTAGTGGAATGGCACTTCCCAAGGCCAGAGCAACAGTTCTACGTGCCCAACTGGAAGTGGAGGATGATGTTGAGAAATTGAACGTTTGGGTTTGCCTTCTCCGAGGACTCGAGTCAAATACAAGACTTGAAATGACCAGGTAGGAGGCCACTAATAGGTTGGAGGTCGTCGCTATTGGGTTGGAGGCCAAACACACCACAGCAGTTTTCAACCATTGAACAAATTCAGTAAGCCTTGCCAGCAGTTCAACTTCTTTCCACTAGATTGTTCCAGTTCTCTACAGCCTTCACCTCACCTTTTTTTGGCGAGTGATATCACATGATGACCCTGAGGACATTTTGTGAATATGTCTTCTGAAGTTCTCTTCGATGAGGAAGATGAACTGCCAGCGAGCGACATGAGCGTGATAGCTCGAAATTCCATCAGCTACAAAGAATTGTTGTCATCCGAAGCATGTTTGCCTGTGTGGTACTGCACTCATTGGTGGGGAGAGCCACTTCATTCTTTTATATTATGCTGTCAGGAACATGCAATCTTGCGACGCCTTGGAAGCTCTGCTTCGTACTGGGTCTGCGGTTATGCAAATCGCCAGCATGAACTAGACTTGGAAATCGCTTAGGATGTCATTCAAACGTCCTTTTTTGCAGCCTTGCGTGCGTCCAGGGGTTTGTTGCTGATTCTGGACGAGAATGCAACTCCTTTCTCGCGAATTTGGTGTGACTATGAGCTCTATTCTGCTGTGATGAATCCTAGTATGGAGCTTGATATTGCAGCAACAATCCAGGGAGAACAGCAGGAAGAAGCCAGGATCTTAAGCAAGAATGTGATTCCTGGTGAGTCCGCGGTGGCCAAATCCGCGCGGGAACAAGATTTTCCAATTTTTCTGCTCGATCGTGGGCTTCAAGTCTGCCTGGAGAAAGGCGCCGGCATAGGATGTTTCCTCATTTTCCGTTCACTCTTTTTTGCTGGCTTGTTTGGTCATGGAGCTTTGTTTGCACTATTGATCTGATCCTTTCACTGAACCCCTGAGATGTGAGTTGGAGAAGGTTGTGTTGTTGGTTCAGAGATGTCTCTTTCCTGAGAGCGTCTCTTGCAAACACTCAGAGCTCGTAGATCGAATTGTGTTCATAAAGCCTGGAGGATCGGCTGCCGGGGTTTTCTTTGTTCCTAGTAGCGTCCTTGTTTTTAGTAGTAAGGCCAGGCGCTACTAGCAGCGTCCTTGCTACTAGTAGCGATGCTCTTTGTTCCTAGTAGCCTCC